AGAGAGAGAGAGAGAGAGAGAGAGAGAGAGAGAGAGAGAGAGAGAGAGAAGGGGGGAGAGGGAGGGAAGGAGTGGAAGGGGGAGAGAGCGCTGACTTTGTGTTCCTCCCACATCATGGATTCAATGTGCAATGTCCCCCCCCCCCACTCCTGTGTTCCATGTGCTTGATCCACTACTTGTGAAGGTGTGTGTGTGTGTGTGTGTGAGTCTGTGTCTGTGTCGGCCACTAGGGGGCGGTACAAAGGTTTTACGGCCTATTTGCCCTTCCTGTTCTTGCTTTGCTTCCTGATCCATGGAGACGTGAGGAATCCCCACCCACCATGACTTGGTCTCCTCCAACCTTTCCTGGAAGTTGCCTCTTGGGTATTTGTTCACAGCGAGGAGAAAGGGAACACCTCAGCTCGGCTGAGTATCGGTCCTTCCCCTTCGTCCTCGTCACTAACCACCTCTCGGCTGAGTATCGGTCCTTCCCCTTCGTCCTCGTCACTAACCACCTCTCACTAGATGCCGCCGTGGTACCGGGACGTAAGTTCCCGACCCCAGCCTTGGGTGGACGTGTTCACACAGTAGCCGATGGCTCGCCCAAGTGTGTGGAGATCCTCCCGACTCTGCGCCGTCTCCTCGGCCATTAGCTCCGTGTCTACTGTGCGCCCTGCTTCAGTGTGCTGGGCACTCACACATCCAGCACATCGCTAGCTGCTCTATGCCAGTTCTGGGTGCGTCTTGTCTTAAAGTGGCATTCCATTTTCTGCAACAGCAAATAAGAAAATTAACTCATTTAATTATAATGGAGCAGATGCTGTGGTCTGTGTCCACAGTCTTACAGAAAAGCTCTGTCGATCTTATTTTAAATTTTCTTTCTTTCTCTCTCTTTCTTTCTTTCTTTTTTTTTTTTTCCAAGACAGGGTTTCTCTGTGTAGCTTTGCGCCTTTCCTGGAACTCACTTTGTAGACCAGGCTGGCCTGGAATTCACAGAGATCTGCCTGCCTCTGCCTCCCGAGTGCTGGGGTTAAAGGTGTGTGCCACCACCGCCCGGCTTGCATTTTTTTTTTCCAAGATGAAAAAGTGAAAATGGGAGATGCCATGTGTATTTGGCTTCTTCCTTTCCAACTTGGAATAGTGGCAGCAAGTGGCACCTATTGGTGAAGTTATTAAGGTCATTCCATGTAGTTAAAAGGGATGTTTATTTTGTGGGGTAACTTACAAGTGAAGGGATAGGCTACAGGGTCTGGGAAAGGCACAGTCCGGCAGTGTTCTCTGGAGAACTCTGCTCAGTCTACCTTCAGAGTCCAGGGTCCAGGAACCAAGAGAGCCTGCGCATTCACATCTCAGGTCTTGGCCCCACCTTGTAGGCATGACAGTTACCGAAGCCTCATTGGGAGTTGGAACTTCCAGATTAAGGCTGGAATGGCTACCCACTACAGGCACCCACATCAAGGACACAGTCTTTGAGATGCTCTGCCTGGCCACCCTGTGCCCAGTGAGTTCCTAGCCTAAGCTGCCTTTTGATGATCCAGCAGGAGATTGGCCCATAGGACTCACTGATTCAGGGTAACGAGAGGTCAGTCTGGAGAGATGGATGGTAATCCATCATGGGAGAGGACGATGGGGTTAAGAGCATTCTTGGTAAGGTTGTGTCTACAAAGTAATAAGCTGTCACAGTCGGGTTGATTTAACAGGGCTGAGTGGAAGGCCTCGCCTGCTGGGCTGCACTGAGGCAGTGAAGTGGGATGTTCAAACACGGCTTCCATTTTTTTATTCTAAGAATAAAATATTTGGAGATAAATCTCATAATCTCCCTGGAATGAGTGCTTAAAGAATTTGTGAATGAAAAAAAAAATTAGTCTATAATCTTCAGTCTGAACGGTATATATACTAAAATGTGCTCAGCCACTGAAGGCATGTTTGATGTTTGTGTAGACTCACTCTGTAGATAGCTTCAGTCACCTTGTGTATCTTTAGTGTGTCTTCTTAAGAGAATCGATAGGCTTGTGTGTGTGTGTGTGTGTGTGTGTGTGTGTGTGTGTGTGTGTGTGTATGAGAGAGAGAGCACACTAGCTGTGTGTGTGCCCCCATTTGTGTGTGACTGTGGGTGCCTGTGTGCCATCATGTATGTGTGGAGGTCAGAGGACGGCCTTCAGTTATCAGTCTTCACTTTCCTACCTTGCTTGAGATAGGTTTCTTTGTTGTCATACAAGTCAGGCTGGCAGACTCTTGAGCCTCTGGACTCAATCCTGTCCCCATCTGCCAATCATCAGAGACACATAGGAGAACAGCTTCGACATAGGTTCTGTGTCCTACAACCCAGGTGGCCTCGCTTGTGTGGCAAACAGCTTGCCTGGGATTTGACTTACAGAGAACTGAGTAGCAGGTGAAGTTCTCAGCCCCCGCCCCCTTCCCTCACTCACCATTTCTCTTATTATCAAGGTTGTGTGTTCTGGTTGTGTGTATTCTACCTGTGATCAGTCAGCATCGATGCACCATGATTATGTAGTTTACATTAGCCTTCACTCTGCTTACATTCTGAGGACTTTGACAGATGTGTAACATCATGTATCCATCACCATTATATCCATCCTGCTGCCTGAAAGATCCCCATTATTCACGCATTCATCCTTCACCCCGGCACCTTGCACCATGGGAAACAGATCTCTCATTGCCTCATTCACTTTGCCTTTTCTAGAACATATAATGGAAGCACACAGCTTGCTCTCTTTCCAGATTGCCTTTTGCATCCAGTGATGTGCACCACAAGTCCCTCAATGTCTTTCTGTGGCTTGTGAGCTCCTTTCTCTTTTTATGGCTAAGTAACACTCCATTGTCTGCACACAGCACACCTCTGTCTATCCAATCGCTGACTGCAGGGAATCTGGATTTCTTCCACGTTTTGGCAATTCTGGAGAAAGTTGCTGCTGTAAATAGTTCTGCTTAGGTTTGGTGAGGATGTAAGTTATGGCCAGGAGCCCAAAAGCCAGACCAAAAGGTAACGCTGTGTGTAATTGGGGCCAGGAAGATGGTTCAGTGGATTAAGGTGCTGGCCACCAAGCCAGATAACCTGAATTTGACTCCCCACCATCCCCATGGTGAGAGAATAGACTCCTGCCTGCTGTACTTTGACTTCCACAGATGTGCCTGGAATATGTTCCTACGCCTGCACAGAGACACACACGATAAATGAACAAGTGAAAAAATTTTCAAGATTATATATATATATGAAATATAATCATGTAAGAAGCTGCCAAAACATACCCCAAAATGCCTGATAATTTTTATCCTATTGATAGGTAATCGTAAAATTTGTGAATTGCCTATTGCTTACCAGTGTCCTAAATTTTACAAGAGGATCTTAGATGGGAAAGAAGCGTGAGAATTTTTTTGTGTGTATATGTATGTATGTACTAGTTCACTTTTTAAGTAAATTTTTAATTTAAATTTCTGATTTTTTCAGACAGTTCCCAGAAGTGTTCTCAAGGACACTGGCCAACACTTCTCCCCCGTACTGTTCTGTTTTTGCCTCAGTTTACCAGGTAGTTAAGGGATCCCAGGACAGTGACCCTCAGCCCCTCTTGCTAAGTGAGCGGCCAAGCTAAGCCCTGGGGGTGGGGTTTTGCAGCAGTTTGTGGGCTCACAGGGTGTCTAGACTTCAGGGCTCCACTTTCGGGTTTGGGTACTTTATCAATTAGACTCCCTTGCTTCTCAGGAGGGAGCTCTCAAAGGTATGTGTCCGTCTACCTAACTGCCCAACTCCAGATCAGAGAGAACTTTCATTTTGGTCTGATAAAGGCTTATCAGGCAGAGGGGAACAAAACAACAGGAAATTTGAATGATACGGCGATTAGCTCCTTTTCAAGGGCACTTCCTGCAGACCAGCCAGCCGCTGCCGTCTTCACCCAGGTCCAGATGAGAGATGCCTGCCCTTGATCACATCAGTGACGTCTGCTCTGCTGTCAGGAAGACACTGCAGACTCTGGGTGGCCAGGGCCCGCTGGCCTGGGCGAGTGATGGACTGTGAGCCCGCCCGCCCAGGGAAAAAGAAGAGTCTGTGCTTACCTCGGGAATTTGTCAGGAATTCAAAGATGGTTTCCTGGCTAGAAACAGTTCATCTATCAGGGGAGAGTGAGAAGCCTGATTTTACCAAGTAGGTTCTGGCCGATAACAATAATGTGCAGAGAATTTCAGCTCTTTGTTCAAGTCATGGGAAAACTCTGGAGAGAGAGAGAGAGAGAGAGAGAGAGAGAGAGACAGAAACCAGTGAAAGTCAGGGAAAATGAAATGAAACTCGAGGGCTGGGACAGGACCCCCCCCTTCTCTGCTCTGGGGGTGGAGGGGGCCTTGTACATGCCAGGCAAGGCCTTTGGCACTGGCCTACCCACATAGCCTCAGGATTGGGAGTCTAGGGAAGAAATGAAAAGACACACAGCCTTCAGGGGAGCCAGGATACATGGTCACAGAATGACATTCATGGCTGGACACCAGAGTGGGACAACTTCCTCCAACTGTAGTGAAATCTGTTCGTTTCAAGACCCAGAAGTTACCAGCCTAGTGTGATTGGGGATAGACAAGGGCATAGTGATTCTCTAATGTGATAAGTCAGAGGTCCTGGGCAGCTGGAGGGGAAGTCTCAGTGGACGAGAGTAGTCTCCTGGGTGCCCTCATAATTCTGCAGAAAAACCCACACTTGTTTTTCTGGAAACAAGTATTTTGAAGGATTTCAGAGGACAAAATTGTACCCATGGTCACAAAGATTGACCATGAAGCCCCAGCACGACCAGGCGGCCAGGGCTTTTGGTGCCTTTAAGTAATGTTTCAGGGAGGGGAAAACCGCTTGTGATTAAGTATCAAGTTTACGTGGCAGATTCCTCTGTGAAGGACCTGCTTTTATACAAGGTGCATGGAGGCAGGCTGCCCGCCTGGGAGGCGAGCAGTGGAGAAGAGCAAGCATCATTTGCTCTAAATTGCACCCTGGTCCAATCCATGGACTCGGGGCTGCCAGGAGCATCCGGGGCACAAAGGAAAAGCGTGCAGGCAGGCTGCACCTCCTTTGATATAGATTTTGCCACCATTGTTCCAGGTGTCTCGGGAGAGAGCTTATTTCCATATGTATAGAGAAACGGTGTGCTTTCTCCTGCCCGTTAACGTGTCAGGGAATGTATTTTTAGCTATACATAAAGCAGCTGTAGTGAGGCATCTTACCGCAGGGTCTCAAGGTTTGAACATCCTTTGCCACCGGAGGAATGCTAATGAGATGATACTTCATTCCACTTATTTTAATTGCCAAACGACACTTAATTTCCCCCCTGGCTTAAAAAAAAAAAAAAATCAAACAAATCGCTTTTGTGCATCATCGGGTTTGCTCTTGCAGGAGCTGGGTGTCTGGGAAGACCTTAGCCTCCGGTGTGGAAGGTTCGAGACCCGGACCGGTCCCTGTGCTGTATAGTGTGTGGTGTCAGTGTCTGTCCCCCCCCCCCGCCCCCCTCCAATGGCTTGGAGGATGCTGAGTGGAGATGCCTGTGGTTGTCAGAGAAACACGGGGATGTATTATTAGATCTTTCATAATTAAGCGTTGCTGATGTGTGCCAAAGATTCCAAGCTTAATCAAAAACGTTATCACCCAGGCTGCTGCTGGGGTGGGGGGTAGGGGATCTGGGAAGCCAAAGGCTGTCGCTCCGGGTGCTGGTTCTGTAAGATAACAAACGCGAGACAAAGGCAGACAGCTCCTGCCTGAGGTTCTGAGCAGGCTCAAGCTTTGGTGAATCACGTGACTCACGGATTGGCGGTGGGTTCTGAAAACCCGAAGCCCCTCCTCGTTCCTGATTTCTGAGTCACTCCACCGACCAGGTGCTGACTAAGGCTGCCGGCTGTGGGAACCTGATTGAATGTGTCTGCCAAGCATTTCCAGGTAGAGCTTGACCCCCCGGGGGAGCCCTCGAGGTCCCTCCCTGGGTCACAGCAGGCCCGCCTGGCTGCGAATTTCAAAGAGTGTATCTCAGCCTTTAGATAAACCTGGCCGACGTCCCCTGGCAGCGAAGCCAGGGGAGGGCCACGGGGACAGCCAGTTCGCAGAGCCCAGGGCTGTTTGGACAAACCATGCTATGTTTTTTCTGCCCGTATCTGGGCGTGCAGGTGAATCCTGGTCCCGCTGGTATCTTGGCTGGCCACTCTCTCTCAGGCTCTGTGGGGAGCTGGGGGTGCATCCCTGCAAACGCTCCAGCAAAGCTGTGCAAACAAACCGGGCCGATTAGTTGGACAGGCTCACTGGCTCGCGAGTGTGAGCTGGCCTGGCAGAGCTATGCACTCAACCCTTTCCAGCCTGCGGTCCCACCCGGAGCGCTCATCAATGAACACCCGGCCTTACCCTCTGGGCACCGGCCTGGGTGCTGCTGCAGCCCCGTGCATCCCTGGGCAGGACAGGATGCTGATTCTCGCCTTGGACTCTTCACACACAACACATCATACATTCTTCTTTTAAAGTCATTTTTCGTGATCCTTATTTAAAACAAAACAAAAAGGCACCCACTTTCATTATAAACTACAACAACCAGGTCAAAAGCAGCGATGGAGCCAGAAACACATCTTGTGCCTCAGTTACTTTACACATATCAGAGGTTGCACAAGACCGGTGTCACGCCAGAGAGACTGAGACTCTTCGCCTTAGATGCCGAGTCAGACAGGGGCAGGCAATTTCTGTTTTTAAAGGTTCAGTTTAACATCTGTAAATACCCCTGATGTTCCCAGCCTGTGGGAGAGGCTGCTCAAACCGACTTGGCTTTCTTTTTTTTCCCCCTCCTTCTTCTTCTGCCTCTGGTTTGAAGTAAGAGTCAACTTGGTATAAAGAAACCTCAGGTCCCCTTTGAGGTGAAATCAGAGTGAATCAGAAAGAGTGATTACACCCTTCTTTAATCAAAGGCTCTGGAGAGGATTTTCTTTTAGGAAAGAAGCGTCAAGCCAAGAGCTTTTGAAAATTACTTTCATATTTTCTTGAGCAGTTCAGAGCAGGGCGAGTGTTAAGAGTTGTCATTTGCTCTTGAATATCAGACTGGAGCGTCAGCCTTTTGTGTGTGCCCTTCCTTCAGCGTCTCAGAAAGGACTGAGCTGGCCTCGGCTCTGTTGTTCACCACAGACGCTTTCAAGTGACTAATGCTCTTGGAATCTCATGGAGACATTTATTCTGCCTCTGTTGCTATGAGCCCTGTGTTCTTTTGTGGAACCTCACAATGTAGGTAACATATCTAAAGTATGACCCTGACAAGAGGAACTGCGTCTTAAGTAGCAATCATAAAATCATTGTGTACACATCACCGGCCTGTCAGGTCTATTCTCCTTTTAGCGTTTCAAGTGTGTTTGTGTTAGTTATATTGGCTGATTAACCTGAAGTGATGTTAGGCTGCAATAGAAAAGGTCGCCCACACTCACACACAACTGTTTATTTAAGCATTCTCGGCTACTTTCGGAAAGCAGCACTCCTTTTGGGAATTTAAAAATTAAGGATAATCAATTGGAAATTATTTGATTAGCCCACAAACTGTATTGGGGTCAAAATCCTCCCTGTTACTTAAAATAGATGATCCATTTTTTTTTAAAGAGATAGGCACGATCAGATTTTAACATTGTTTATTAATAAAGCTTTAAAAATGAACACTTCTGTCTGTTTCCAGGAATTTGATGGTTTGAATCCTTCACAGGCCATGCTTGGAACATTAATTTGGTGACTAGCAGAGAAAGAAGTAAGGGATGTGTTGTTGTCGGCTTTTTGAGAAAAGATCTTACGTAGAGTCACAGGCTGGCCGGGAAACTATTGCAAAGTAGCCCAGGCTGGCCTCAAGTTGTGGCAATTCTCCTGTCTCCACCTCCAGAGTGCTGGGATTACAGCCATGAGTTATGAAGCCTGGCTAGGGAATATGGTTTTTGTTACAACTAAACGTGTGCTCATTTCTTAACCTGAGACATTTAAAAATTAGTTGAAGCCAGAAACAATTAACGGTCCAGATTTCTCTCACTTATTTTTTGGCTTTTATCTTACTTGTTTGTGCCCATTTTAATTAGAAAATAATACAGTGACACAATTAATTTTACCTGGCAGGCTCTGTTCCACGGCAACATGGGCATGTGTGAAAAATGGTGCTTTTTTTTTTTTTAAACTAGCATAAGAATTTTTTAAAACCTAAAAGTCTGCTTCCATTTGAGCCTTTATAAATTCTTAGACAAGATCTGAAATTGAGGCCACGATTTTCACATCTCAGGAAGCCATATGGAGGTTAAATGTGATTCTTTGTTTTGTATTATTTATTATTCCGTATATTTGTTGGCTGGCACTTCCATTTAGCCATTTTAAAATATAAAGCTCACACTATCCGTTTAACCACGTTTCCTCAGAAATTGTGTCCATGACTACAGATGACATCTTAGCATGACCACACATTTTATTGATTTATATTTGATGTGAAGGTTGATAAGATGAACATAACATTTTAAAAGTAGGTCAATAAGAAGAATCTACCTAGACTCAATCTTCATTCATGTTAATGTACTGTCTCAATGAAACTAACACCATTTTATCATTTCCTTTCAAACTGTGTGCTCTTTCTTGCAATTTTGATTTCTCTTCATGTTTTCTCTTTGGAGAAACCAGACCAAAAGTTGCTTGAGCACAGATGTGCAAAATCTCCTTCATTTCATCCTCTGCACATCATGTGCCCTGTGCATGCCCCAATAAGTCATTTATTGATTATTTTAAACTGATAGTCTATAGCTACAAAACAGTACAGTAACCTTAGAATACATGCCATACATGCTAACACAGTAAAGTCATGTGTTCGGCACAGCTAACAACTTTCCTGCTGTGGATAGCATCAGTTCTCTTACATTCGATAGAGTCACAAAATCCTACGAAACTGGCCTAAGAGCAGCATGCATTGACTAGGGAACCTGGAGAGCTTCAGTCTTAGCATCGTTTCACTGGCCAGCTCATGGTGCTTACGTGCCTTTCACTAAAGACAAGGGCTGGAGAAACCCTGACTTCAACTCCCAGCACCACAAAATTAATAACATCTAGAAGTGGGCTTTCCCTCACCAACAGTTACAATGTTCAAAGGGTGCAGAATTTGGATCTGAATGTCTCTGATATTAGTCTTTTTTTTTTTATATTAGTTTCTTAATTACTTTTCTTTTTATTTTTTCATTAAAATGTGGAGCTTAGGTACAAGTAAAGCGACAACAAAACAAAGACACAGGGCACTTCCCATCTCGTGGCCGTCCTCCTCAACCAAGGCGAGACCTTTTAAAAGAGTTAGAGTTGTCCTGGACTACAAGCCGTTATCCTCGGCCTGATCTGCTTACCCTCCCTGGTCTACAGCACTAAAGGCAGGGTGGACTTGCTTTCTATTTACTACAGCAAAGCAGCTTTGTCGGGAGCAGTTACCATTTGTATTTCCACACAACTCTCATAATTACCTATTGTTTTTGGCAAAAACCAACATGGTATTTGCACACACTGTACACTCGGACCCCTTTCTCACGAAACTTCATTCTTGATTCTAAAGCACATAGTGTGGATACACACTAGTTATACAAGTAATTTCTTACACTGGGGTCTCGTAAAAATCTCTCATCATCAGGTAGCGTTATTGTATTAAAATAAACAAACAAACAAACAAACAAACAAACAAAAACAAAACCCGAGGCAGGCCAGGGAGATGGTTCAGCAGTTAACGGCAAAGGCACTCGGTGCATAAGCTTGGCCACTTCAAATCTGATCCTTAGAACCTACTCCACAAAGCTGTCCTCTGACTTCCACATGTGCACTGTGGCACGGTGCGTGACACATCGTGCAAACACACACACAATAATACTAAATGGAAAAAAGAGAAGTAAAGCGACTGCTTGTGTTGCCTTTGATCTGTGCACAGAGTTCCTGGAAAGCAAGGTACAAGCCAGTTTCACTGTCTGTGTGTGGTATGAACGAGGCCTAGAGGATCGGGTCAAAGTCACTGCTTTACCAGACAGTAATGGCATGCTAATGATGTTGGAGCAGCTTGGACCTCCGAGTGACAAAGCCTTTTGCACTCTGTGGTGATGCTCTCCGTGAATTCAATTAAAAAGGCAACTGTGAGCTGCTGGCCGTGACTGTCGCTCCGCTGGAGAGTTTCATTTACCAGGCGTCCTTCTCTCAGCCATCAGAAAAGTCTTAGGTAAATTGTGCAGACATTTTTGTTGGGTTTGGCTTATTTAATTTTTTATAAAAGTGGGGTTTGTAAATATCACAGCAAAGCCCTTCTCGCAGTTTTGGTGACTAAATAGATTCTATGAGCTGGGTCAGACGGTTGAGGTCCATTGAGATGTACAACCGATCAAATTATTTTATTTCCCTTTAATATTTTATTTTAAGACAAAGACTCGTGTATCCCAGGCTGTCCTCAAACTTCCTATGTAGCAGAGGATAACTCGGAGCTTCTGTGTATGTGTGTTGTGTGGGGAGGGGGTGTTTTCTGTGTTTTTATGGCGGTTTGCAAGAGTGTATAGTGTATAGTGTGTATGTGTGCATGTGGTGTTGTGTGTGTGTAAGTGGTGTTTTGTGTTGTGAGGGGTGTGTGTAGGTGCACTTGGGAGCATAGGGGTATACATGTGTATTTGAACATATGTATGTATGAACGAGAATGGCATATGTGCACATGTGTGTGGTGTGTGTGCAGGTACACGTGCACAGGACCTTTCCCTGGCCCTAGAGAGCTTGCTGATTCAACCAGGTAGACTGGCCAGCCACGTGTCTTGGTGCCTCCTCAGCACTGATCTTTCAAAAGGGCGCAGTAGATGACAGGACTCCAAACTCAGGCCTTCTGCTTATGTGTGTGGCAAGCACTCTCCTGAGTCAGCCAGCTCCTCAGTCTGATCACCTCCCAAGTGCCAGGACTATAGACTTGCACTACCCAATGTGCGTGGTACTGAGATTAAACCCGGGGGTTCACGCACTCTAGACAAACGCTCTACCAATCCAGTCACATTCCCAGCCCAAATCCCCTTTTAATGCTTGCTAAATTTTTTGTTTATTTCAATATATTAATGAGGGTGGAGAGATAGTTTGGCTGTTAAGATTATATACTGCTCTTGAAGAGGGCTGGAATTCACTTTGCTTCTTAGTACTGGTACTAAGTACTAAGTACTAAGTACTTAGTCTGGTACTCCAGCTCAGTCAGCACCGGACACCTTTGGCCTCCATGGGCCCCTGTACCCACAGGCACATACCCTATACAGACAAATGCACATTTACATAATCAAAAATTAATTTTTAAAGTTCACTTCCAGAGCAAACGTTCCCTCATCACGTGACCTCTGGGTTGTTGGTTAATATTCTACTGGCTCCCCAAAGAAACTTCTAATATCTGGAACAACAACAACAACAAATTCCACAGGATTCAGCTTTCTTCAAAAAGGACAATTTCAGATTCCAGGAAAGAGCAAGCCATAGTAGCTGTCTGAAGGCTGGAACTTTGGTCAGTGTTCTACGAAAATGAAATTGAAAGTAATGCTGAGGTCATGACTAGCTTCCCTGGGCTGAGGGAAAATGCTCTTCTGCTAACTAGGCAATAGTTTTCATCCGGGTGGGTTAATCTGCAAGATCAGTCCTCCCTTCAAAACAGGTGGGCTTTCCTGCCTCTGCTAAGAGTTGGTGAAGAGTTGAAGGAGCATTCCTCTGTAGGGAAGGGTCATGTGCAGCCTTTGGCAGGATTTCCACCTCCCTGCAGAGTCAAGGCTGGGAAGTCTGAGGGGGAGAGTCCTGAGTAGTCTTTTTCCCACCCACAGGATGCAGCCTTCGACAAAACAAAAACAAATAAGAGCTTTACAGTTTCACCCCCCTTACTATTTCCTTGCCTGTGGATGCCAGACCCTTTCTAGGGCATCCGTCTGGGTTTGCAAAGCTGAAGCAGTATCTACGTGGGAAACCCTGTGGAGGCTTTCATGGCTCAGCCGACTGCGGAGCCTCCAAGGCTTCCCTTTTTCTTTGCCCGGTCGTAACCTTCTTTCCTCTCGGGTGATAACTTTAATGACATCTCATGAACTCAATGCTTCGACTTTCCCACTCGCCTATTATAAACAGAAATGCAAGGCATCCCATTTCTAACGACAAAGGAAAAAGCGGTGAGCGCCACTCAGCTGGGTCT